AAAAATTATTTCAAAATAATTTTATTATATATAAATAGATTTTCAAATAAAACGAATTAATTATATAATAATATATTACATTATAAATTTACAATATCACATAGTATTATAAATATAATATTCTCATTTTAAAAGTGTTGTAATTGAGTATTTTTAAAAAAATTTAGGTGGGTTTAATTTTTAAATTTGTGAGATATAAGAGGATAAGGGAGAGGGTGTGTTCCCTACTCAAGAGGAGCCAGCGGACTTAACCATCCCACACCAGTATTTTGGATACCTTTTTAAATTGATGTAAAACTGAAACTTAATAAGCAAAAATATATATTTACAAGCAGTGAGAAGAAATTTTGGTTACGGAAATTGAAAAACCTTAATTAATAGCAATTACATTAGGTTTTATTTTTAGCCTTCACCATTACATTAGGTTGAGAGCGTGAGTTTGAAAGAAAATTGTGTTGGTTATTAACTATTGAAAGATTGGGTTGCTTTATATGCTTTTGTTAGTAGAAATTTTTTTTTTTGTGTATTTAATTAGATAATGAAAAGTAATTATTTTTTATTTTTAATTCCAGCATACCTATATACTATATAACTCAATTTTTTTTTTTTACAAAAAAAATATTACTAATAAATCATCTAAGTCATTGGTAAAAAAATAATTTTTTGATTCACATTTTTAACTCATTCCTTTTCCTCATACACGTCTAGCCATTAGAAAAACCTCTCCTTCAGCCAAAAGTTCCCTCTTTTCCCCGCTGTTTAGATGCCCTGCACGATGCACCCACCTATTAAAAGACAAAATGTTTTACTATTAATGAAGTTTTTTAATAATGAAATCTTCTTCCATGACGTGTTGCTATTTTTATCAACACCCCATTCCTCATTTTGTCGCCCAAACAGTTGGTATCAAGGTTTTTAAAACCGGATCGGTCATTGAATCGTTTTCAAGTTTGGTTCTTAGTTTAACCAGTTCAATTGGTTGAACCAATGAACCGATCGATCCAAACAGTAAAGAAGATTTGATAAGAGGAGCAAGCTGCAGCATGGATTTTCTAATTTGGTGTTGATAATTTTGTAATTTTGTTAAAATTAAAGGTTAAAATGGGTATAAGAAAGGAATGGGAATGGTGAAATTGGAAAAAATTGAAAGAAGATT